ATGTATTGACTAAAATGTCTCTATCATATCTACATATACTAGGGGTACAGTGTGTAATTGTACATTCTCCCATTTCTATAAATAGGGGACTATTTCATGAATAAATGTTACACGATTTTACTGTTTTATAATATATTTTTGTTCTTCTTGCTCTCTCTCTCTCTCCCCCTTAGCGCTCTATTCCTTGGGCGTCTCTCCCGTACAATTTTGGATTCAACAAAAATCTTTATGTTAAAGGATTAAATGATTTTTTTTTTTCAAAAAGTATCAAAAAGCTAATTTATGTTATCTTCTTGAAGCCTTTATAGAAAAAATATATATAAACTTGTAGATAAAAACTATGCCTTTTGGTTTCTTCTCAGAATATAATGTGAGAAATACAAGTATACTGCATTTTATAATCTCAGGCCCCAAGTTTTATATTTATTTCAAAAGTCAATGAAGCTTAGAATTATAAGAAAAGCTTGGCTTTTTTTCTCAACATGTGAAGGAATCACTTTTGAAAACTTCCTCCCCCATTATGTCAAACTAGATAGGAACATATTCAGTTCCATGATCTCTCACTAATACTAATTTCATCAAGGCTTATCCTAACAGAAGAAAAAAAAATTATGTTTCAGCAATACATAAATAAATAATTATAAAAACCCAAACTTTGGTTGGAATGAAACAGAAGAAAAAGGGCTTGAGATTCATGCTGTCTGAAGGGTAACTGCAAATATTCTAAGACATATAAAGAAAGATTTGCAAGCACTTTTCTGACGTCTCTCTTGAGGAATGTTTCACCTCCTCTTGTGAACACAATCAAATCTTCTTATATTTTGCAACAAAAAAAACAAAAAAAAAAAGAAGAAGAAAGAAAAAGATTATCAAAGTTAGACAATTTAATTGTGCCGTTTCATCCAACCACCAACGCTTAGCTATGTGAACTCATATCAAAATTCTGAGGTCTGTAAGTTGGCCAGTATTTAATCTGTCGCTCATGTCGTTTTCAGTTGATTAAGGGTGGAGGCTTTAGGTTTGCTGTTGGAAGTTGCCGGCTGAGAGAGTTAAGGCTTCTGCATACCTTCCTCATCAATGATACATACATACATACATACATACATACATACATACATACATACATACATACATACATACATACATTATATATATATATAGTTAAATATTTTTAAGAACTCAAAGGTTAAATGAACCAAAGGTAAATAGGATCAAATTTGATTAATTATGCTCATGAACTAACTAATTCAATGATTAAATTTTAATTACTTTATAGCAGGCTTCATAATTGCTCATGTCATATACAAGATATTATTTGAATAAAAGTTGGATGAAGATATTCTATTTGAAATTTAGTTAACATTGGTTTCATAACTTTTTAATTTTTTTTTATATGAGGAGGAGCCAGCATTATTTTTTAGGGTGGTTAAAGCCACCAAATGTTTATTTCTTTTTTAAGTGATCGGCAAAGAATTTTAATATATATATATATATATATATATGTTACTGTGATCCATTAAATATGCTTCGTTTGGTATAGTTGCAATACATATTTCTGCAGTAATGTCATTTACATAGTTAAGTTACGGTTAAATTTCCTAAATTTTATGACTGAAAATTGAATTTTAGTCTTACTAATAATTTTCTCTAACATACAAGTCACGGGTCTTTATTCGGGATCTTTTAGCTATACATTTTTTTATTAAACATAATTATCTTTATTAGCATGACATAGTTTTAGTAAATATTTATTTTCTCTAAATGTTTGTGACACATCATGAACAAATTTTCATCATCCGTCATGAATCTCGAGATATAACACAATTCTTAAAATAAACTCTTGAGAAAAGAACATTCAAACTTCAATGAAGAGTCATCTAGAGCTCCGATTTCAATAAACTCATAGTTAAAATGACCGGCTTGATGAGATGGACCCAAAGACATAAAAATTAGTCCAATTTAAGTCAAATCAAGCTGAGATCAAGTCATTAAACAATCATTGAAAGATTTCCGGATATATTTAGAAGATCAAATGAATGTCGAATCTAGCAAGCCTATAGTCGAATCGAACATCTCAACAAAACGAATCTGACGAGCTCAAGATTGTTCAATTCCGACATTGTTAAAGCACTCAAATGTCCATTAAACGTCGTCTTTATCGAAGGAAGCTCTTCTAACCGTCCGATCTAATTGGTTCATATTTCTGCATTAATTGCACCTAGAATACTGTAAATAGAGCCCCACCCCTCCCATGAGGAGGAAGAGAGCTTGAGAAAGAATTTGAAGCTTTGAGAAAAAACTGAAGTTCAACACCACTCTTGCCATCATCGACTGTCGACAATCGTCATTGACCACCTCTGATCTCCATCGATCATCGCCATCCACAGTTGATCACGGTCGACCGCCGTCGACCACCACCTACAGGCCTCCACCGATTGCCATCAACAACATCTCATTTCTTACAAAAAGTTCATCCGCACGTCAATGTTGTAATTCAGAAGACTTTATAACAATTTCCCGCTTATAGGATAATGAGTTTTCGTAATCATCAACTTATAGTAGATTTTTATAACTGGGTCAGACATCTTGATTTTTTTCATTTACTGGTTTTCCACGTAAAAAACTTTTAGTGTCATTGCTGGTTGTTCTCTTTTATGTGAGTGTGTGCTGAATTTTCATGCAACACTAATACGATAATTCAATAGTCTACCGCCCATTTTCTAGCACACATCAAATATTATATAAGGAGTCCACATATATACAAATTTCGTACCTAATACTTTTACCACTTATAGATATGCCAAAAAGGGAAGAGCTTTCATAAATAGAGAATATGAACCAAAAGAGCTACCAAAAAAAAAATTCAATTTACAAGTTTAAGAAAATTATGATAAACTGCTCTCCAATTTCGTGAGTGCAAAAACAACCAGAATAGAGAAAATTTTGAACGCAAGTGCTTTTATTTTATTATAATTACTTTGTAGCCAGCAATCTTTTGGGTATTTACATACATAACCCACAGTTGTACATTTTTATATATAACACCTAAACTTTCATATTTATATATTTAACATTCAAATCTTTAATGATAAATTACAAGTACCATTCTTATTAATTATTTAAAAATAAAACTCACATTTTCATGCATATAGATTTTGAACATCATATGTTATAAATGTAAACAACAAAGTTTAGGTGTTCGGCGTGTAAAAACATAAAATTTGTATTGTATGGTATGTAAATATAGCTTCAATGAAGATTCTAAGTTCCCCCAGGTCATGAGTTTGAATCCCCCTCTGGCTGGGGGCTCATATAATAGCCTATGACCATTCTTTATTTTATATATATATATATATATATATATAAACCCTAAACAATATATTAAATATATATATATATATTTATATATTTGCGCGAGATGTGGTATACCATAATAATATAATAATAAGATATCAGTTAACTTTCAACAGATTCAAAGGCAACAAATTCAATAATATTAGGAAGTCCAATGCAGACAATTAGTAGGTAGCTTGAATGTGATGTGTATTGAGATTCAAAAAACCATTAGTTCCTAGTTTTCATGTGCTTATTGTATAAACATAAATCATGTGGACCTCAATATTTCCAGCATTGAGAACATCAGCAATTTTCAACCCATTTTTCATGGTGATCTAATCAAAGGAGGAATATTTAATGCCACTTAGCCTCATTGTTGTAAAACTCATCCAAGATATCTTCAATTTAAGAATAAGTCAAGTCAAAAAGTCGAGGCCCAATTGTAAAATTTGTGTCATAATATTAGAGTGATCCCAATAGTACATAGGACTGTGAACAATCCAATTTTGAGCTAGTTGGGTTTAGTTTGAATAAATTTAGTGCAGCTTGAGATCAACTCGTTGCTTGTTATATTCAATTTTAATCTGGCTCGGGTTGAAATTGAATCGAGCTCGATCGGGCTTGAAATCAAAATGAGCTAGCTCAAATTGAGTTATATAGATTTGTTTCAACTCTAAATCGGCTCGATCTAGCTCAAAATTAAAGCTAACTAGCTCAAATTAAGCTATTTGGATCAGTTCCAACTCAAAATCGGCTCGTGACTCCCTATATTCAATTTTACTTAGCATTATATGTAATTTTATAACTAAAAATACTAAGAGCCGATCTTGAGTCAGTATGAACTGATTCATGCATTGCTCATAATCGGCTAAAAAAATTTTTGATCCAAAGTTTCAGCTAATTGCTCGGCTCGTTTATTCGATCCAAACTAGATTAGAGCCAAAATTTAATTTAATTTTTTTAGTGATCAACAATCTTCGTGCTCTTAAAGATATCTTGATCAAAGTAATCGTAAGCTTGTCTGAAATTTTGGGCTTGCAGGTGTTGTCCTGATACATAAGTGCAGCTTTAAGCATTAACATTGTGATGATAAACAATCCTGGCACCATACTTGTAGGAAGAGCATTTGCAATATAGAATATATGCAGTTGAAATTTACTAGCAAAATATGGGATTTAACTTTCAAGCCATTAAGCATTTTATGGATTTTTTGGAAGCAATCATTGGAGCTTAAAATCTATTAGAGGGGATGTTGAGGAATGAGCTGAGAGCAATATAGCATTAGATAACTTGGAACAAAATTGGTGTTAATGATATGAATGCCAGCTATATTTCCAAAAGAAGTGAGTGTGCTTTTGAGTGAGGAAATATTGTTTGAGGAGCTTTTTCTAAAACAAAAGGGATATATAAAGACGTAGCTTGCAATTACGTTGGGAGACAAAATTGCGTGCGGAAGCTAATTTGAAAGATCTGAAGCAATACTTCGAACATAAGCACACAAAAAAAAAAAAAAGTCACAGAGAATAAAAGATTTAACTTGAAAAAACCCGTGAACGGGAAAAATAATGAAACCACATGAAATAATTTTGAAAGAATTAATTCATTTCCATTCAAGAGTTGAGCTTCTGTAGAGGTATACAAAATCTTTTACAAATAACCCTTAGACTTCTTCTATAATTGTATTTTATAATTTGATCCCACAAAAATAAGGTACAAATCTTAATACCATACTGCACAAAAAAATCCATTATAAAGAAAATGAGAAGAATCATACAAATTACATCACCAAAGCATCTCCACACTTTAGAAGACTCCTCTCCTCTCCTTCTCATAAGATAAATAGGAAATCCCACACACCTCAATCAACAAAACCGACGATAAGTAAAAAAACTATCCAAAATTAGTTATGGACATCGGGGTGCCACGAAGTGGCATTGCGGTGCACCAATGGACGTCGGTACACTGCATCTAAGCGCTGCAGTGTAGTGCTGTCAAATTCTGAAATTTGATTGAGTGCGGTGATATTGCCTTCCGTTCGTTGCTAGTCTCGGAGCTGGGGCACCGCGAGTATATTGTTGAGATGCTATGTAAGGAAAAAATTACTTTTTGGGGGGAGCGCGGCCCCATAGTCCCCAACAAACTAATCGCTAAGCTTGATCAACAAAATTGATGGCTTTCAGTTTACAATTAATCAGCACAATCATGCTATACATAATAACAAATTCTTATGTATTAATATATCTCACACTCACACCTAAATTTCATATTTACATGCATAACACTTTGGTGCTCTAAACCTATACATAAAAAGATGTATTTCATTTTTAAAAAAGTAATAATAATACTATTTTAATATGATAATAAAGATTAGGCGTGAGATATGTGAATACATAAGAATTGCGTGCTATGCATTTAAATGCCCCAAACAAAAATTTAACCTGCATAAAGCAGATGCGAGAAATGATGATCATCAAGAATAACCAAAGCATACTCCTCTCAGACTAGAAGCGAAATTGAAGAAGTATAGAGGCATGTAGGGTCTGCTGACATCTTTTAATGATTACAAAAGTTTGTCTAAAGAGGTCTTCTCATAGACCAAGCATCAACAAAACTAAAGAAACTTCCGGTTTCAATCTTTCACAGTCACGTTGGAGATAAACTGTGGAATTTTTTGAGTGACTCGTCTTGGTCTTATGTTATGTTCATAAGAGGTTGAATTCCTCAATAATTTGTAGGCACTAATAAATTGAGTGCCTCGTGTGAGATGTGCACACCATCTTAAAGATATTATTATGAGTGAAAAAACTGATAATATGAGGTCTTTTGTGTGTGTGCGTGTGTGTAATAGAAAGATAGATGGCGTCTGCGGGAGCTAGGGCAAGGGTGATTTGGAGGCGATTTCGGCATCCCCATGGATTTTGAGGTTCCCTGGATAGCAAGTGGCGGCAAAAGCTTACATTTCTTCTTTTAGTTGGTGAGATATTCCCTTTTTTTTCCTTATTTTGCTATTTCCTTCCGCGTTTCTCGATCCGTCATCATCTTCAAAGGAACTCCAATGGATTGTTCCTTTGCGGAAGCACTCACGGGTAATGGGGGTTCCAAATTGAGTAACACAGGGCTTTTTCCTCCATCTTTCCACGAGGCTTTACATTTTGGGGGAGATTATAATTTTATCCGAAAATTGGGAAAAAAAATTAGTAAACTTGCCAAGTTTGTGACAGAAGATGAATCTACTACTCTTGCCTCTTCGTGTCGGCACGCCTTAGTTGGGAAATTCGTTTTTGGGCATCCTAAGCTTGAAGTGGTAAGGAGGGAATTTGAATCTATGAAGCTTACGGGTTTTTGGAAAATCGGTCCCGTTGATGGGAGACATATTTTTATCCAACTATCCAACGATGAAGATTATACGGGTTTATTTTCTCGTCGTTTTCTTAAATTTGATGATATAGCTATGAAATTTCTGCAATAGAATGTGGACTTTGATCCTAAATTGGAACCTCCCATTATTCCGGTCTAGTTGAAATTCCTAGGTTTAAAGCTTCATTTATTTAATCATGAAGTTCTTTTTTCTCTTGCTGCGGCATATGGAAAACCTTTAAAAATGGATGGCCCTACTTTCTTGCTTACGAGACCTTCTGAGGCTTGTGTTTTAGTAGAAACGGGACATCACCTTTCCTTTCTTTGATGAAATTTGGATTGGCTCCGCTCATATTCTTATCCAACTATCCAGTGATGAAGATTATACGGGTTTATTTTCTCGTCGTTTTCTTAAATTTGATGATATAACTATGAAATTTATGCAATGAAATGTGGACTTTGATCCTAAATTGTAACCTCCCATTATTCCAGTCTAGTTGAAATTCCTCGGTTTAAAGCTCCATTTATTTAATCATGAAGTTCTTTTTTCTCTTGCTGCGGCATATGGAAAACCTTTAAAAATGGATGGCCCTACTTTCTTGCTTACGAGACCTTCTGAGGCTTGTGTTTTAGTAGAAACAGGAGATCACCTTGCCTTTCTTTGATGAAATTTGGATTGGCTCCGCTCATAAGGGTTACTGGCAAAAAGTTGAGATAGAATGACATTAACCTTATTGCACAAATTGTCACATGTTTGGACGTTTATCCGCTAATTTTTATCGTCTGTATCCCACATTTAAAGAATGATTCTGAGCATCCCCACACTGCAAGTGTGCAGCAAGTGTGCAGCGCATCGAGCTCGAGCACATTCATATTGAGGCTACAATAAATCCTCCAAACCTATATATTGATAAAGATGCAAATTTTCTATCCCCTGTTGATACACAGTTCCTTAATGACAATTTGGTTGCTAGCACTAGCATTGGACGTTGCACTGAACGCCATATTTCTACACAGTTCCTTAATGACAATTTGGTTGCTAGCACTAGCATTGGACGTTGCACTGAACGTCATATTTCTACATATAACTATGAAATTTATGCAATGAAATGTGGACTTTGATCCTAAATTGTAACCTCCCATTATTCCAGTCTAGTTGAAATTCCTCGGTTTAAAGCTCCATTTATTTAATCATGAAGTTCTTTTTTCTCTTGCTGCGGCATATGGAAAACCTTTAAAAATGGATGGCCCTACTTTCTTGCTTACGAGACCTTCTGAGGCTTGTGTTTTAGTAGAAACAGGAGATCACCTTGCCTTTCTTTGATGAAATTTGGATTGGCTCCGCTCATAAGGGTTACTGGCAAAAAGTTGAGATAGAATGACATTAACCTTATTGCACAAATTGTCACATGTTTGGACGTTTATCCGCTAATTTTTATCGTCTGTATCCACATTTAAAGAATGGTTCTGAGCATCGCCACACTGCAAGTGTGCAGCGCATCGAACACATTCATATTGAGGCTACAATAAATCCTCCAAACCTATATATTGATAAAGATGCAAATTTTCTATCCCCTGTTGTTACACAGTTCCTTAATGACAATTTGGTTGCTAGCACTAGCATTGGACGTTGCACTAAACGCCATGTTTCTACTGATGATAACCCAATCATCCCAACCGATGTTGCTCACTTGCTCTAAATGATACAATTCTAAATAAAATGAATTGCAGGTTAACAGGTATGCAGCTTAAACTCCCCCCTAATTTGAGATAGAATGACATTAACCTTATTGCACACATTGTCACATGTTTGGACGTTTATTCGCTAATTTTTATCGTCTATATCCACATTTAAAGAATGATTCTGAGCATCCCCACACTGCAAGTGTGCAGCGCATCGAGGACATTCATATTGATGCTACAATAAATCCTCCAAACCTATATATTGATAAAAATGCAAATTTTCTATCCCCTGTTGGTACACAGATCCTTAATGACAATTTGGTTGCTAGCACTAGCGATGGACGGTGCACTGAACGCCATGTTTCTATTGATGATAACCCAATCATCCCAACCGATGTTGCTCACTTGCTCTAAATGATACAAATCTAAATTAAATGAATTGCAGGTTAACATTTAAAGAATGGTTCTGAGCATCGCCACACTGCAAGTGTGCAGCGCATCGAGCACATTCATATTGAGGCTACAATAAATCCTCCAAACCTATATATTGATAAAGATGCAAATTTTCTATCCCCAGTTGGTACACAGTTCCTTAATGACAACTTGGTTGCTAGCACTAGCGATGGACGTTGCACTGAACGCCATGTTTCTATTGATGATAGCCCAATCATCCCAACCGATGTTGCTCACTTGCTCTAAATGATACAAATCTAAATTAAATGAATTGCAGGTTAACAGGTATGCAACTGAACCTCCCATCTAAATTGGATAACCCCATATGAAAATTCACCTCTCATGCCTCCACTAAATTATTGTATCCTTGTCGTTGGACTTCTTCACTATGGAATGCTTTTTTATCCCCCTCTATCTCATTCTTTCTTTGGAGATATTTTTTAATGCTCTTGCCCTTAGATAATATTTTGAAATTAAAATGATTGTGTGTGGCTTCGGGGTGCTATCTATGCAAGTGTGAGGAGGAATTTGCCTCACATCTTTTCTTCGATTGCCTCTTTGCTCGTGAAGTTTGGAGTTTGGTTGGAGGGTATTTCAAGATGGATTGGACTCCACGATTAAATGATCGGTTGGAGTTCAATAATTTTTTAACTGCTTGGAAAGTTGCACCTATTTATGAGGGGAAGCTGGAACCCTTTCTGTATGTCATTTTATGGTTCCTTTGGTTCGCAAGGAATGCACATAAGTATGAGACACTACCTCCTACACCTACTACCACCACTTATATTATTGCTTACTTTCTTAAAGCGTCTCGACTCATTACAATATGCTCTAATCCTCCTTCGAGGGGTAGGAGGGCCACTTTAATTAGGTGGCAACCCCCCCTCCGATAGTTGGGTTAAGCTTAATGTGGACGGAAGTTGGACTATATCAAATGCTGGAACAGATGATATTTTTCGTGATTCATCGGGTAGCTGCCTCTGTTATTTTGCCTCACCAGTTTGTGCCACTACTCCTTTAGAGACAGAGTGTTCTTCTATTTGGTCTGCTGTACAGATTGCAGTTATCTTCCATTTTCAATCTTTATATATTGAGACAGACTCCATTGCACTTGTTAACATGTTTCATAAGAACATTCCTTCTGCTTGGAATATTATTTTCTTGTTAAACATGATCTAGGATTAAATTAAAAAGCATAATATGGTTATACAAATGCATTTCATTTATAGGGAATGTAATTCCCCTGCCGATTGGCTTGCAAAGCAAGTATTGCAAAGAGTTTTGGTGGGTGTTCTGCCCCCACCTCATTTGCAAACTCTGTTAAATGGTGATATGCTAGATGTGCCTTACATTAGGCATTAAGTTTATTTTATCTGCTACATTGGATCTATACACTAACTTTTTGCATGGAGCTTTTACCGCATGTTGCTAATACTGCCCGGAGCTTTTACCGCTTTATACCGCCTGGAGCTTTGCTGCCTGGAGTTTATACATTAATTTTTACGCCTCTTTGCTACTCTCTGGTCTTTTGTGCCAGATTCAGATCTCTTTCTTGCAGGTCACTGGTTTGGGCAATTTTCTTCGTGGAGTTATTTTGGGAAATTTTCTTCGTGGAGTTATTTTCAGGTTGCACTCAACTAGATTTCAGGATTTCTTTTGTCTGGGAGAATGCTTTCAAAATGTATGATTGGGGAACCTACTGTTTCACATGCTCGTTGCTTTTTTAGAAGTCTTCTTTGGGAAAGTTCAATGCTCTATCGTTTATCAAGTTTTGTCGGGCGTTCTCTGTTTCTCTTATTGCTATTTGAGACCTTTGATTTTTTGTGTTTTGTGTACATGTCCATTTTCAGTATACTTTCTGCTTAGTATACTTTTTTGGGATCACATGTATTTTTTTGTATACTTTCTGCTTCGTACATAATTTTGTTTTCCTTTGTATTGAGTTGTAATGTGGATAGAGGAACCCCTAGGACCTTAATGCATTTCTTTTTGCTTTTAGATGGGAATCCACTTTCCCTCTCTTATTTTGTAACTTCATTTTATATTAATGCGTAGGGAGCCACGAGATGCTCTTTTCAATATATATATATTCATCTATAGGAGAAAATAAGAAGAGAGATAAAAAAATAAGAAAAAAAAATCTTATATAAAACTTCGAAAAAACTCACAAGAATTTATATCATTAAGGTTAAATCTAATCATATAAAACTTCAAACAGTCTTTAGCACAAGCCTAGCACTCTAGAGTTAATTATAATTAAGGACACCTCCAAGAGACACTCTCAATATTAGAAATGTGCTTAATTAATATCAATAAATGATTGTGTCTAAGAACAATTATCTAATAGAATAATCTATACTTTAAAATTAGTCATTCATAAAAAAAAATTTATTCATAAAGGAGAAAGTGAATCTCTATAACCAAGTGAGATAAGTATCTTTCAATGTGAAACATTGAACGCAATAACAATTACGGAATCACTGGATACTCAAAAATAATAGAATTCTCATTTGGTCGATGAGTAGAGATAGAAATCTAGAAAAAATGTGGAAGTAGCACTATCAAGTTTTTATGAATATGCAATTTAATCTCATGACATCAAAGTGTGAAAATAAAATTTGATTTGTTTGACAAATAATGTCTAGGAAATGGATTGAAAAAGTATAAGACTTGCAACCATTAGTAGTATATAGAATGCCTATAGAAGAAAAAATGACATGGTTGAATTTTATGCAACTAGAGCTATTCAAGAGTACTTACAATCAAGTCTATGTCAGTGCTTAGCATATTAAGACTATTGGGCTAATAAAGTAGAATAATGATTATACAATAAAGCTATATTCTAAGGAATGTCGAGAAAATTATTTATCATTATGAGAAAGACTTCTATATTTATCCAGGCATAGCTAAGTTATGATAGTACATTAGCGATTTGGAGTTTTAATTATCAATAAACTCTATTATATATCATTTAAGAAATACAAAGTGATTTTTTTTTTTAATTAAAAAGCCGGTTCAAAGAGCCTCAATTTTAAAAAAAAAATCTTAGATTAATTTTAATCTATTAATTAATTTATTACAGTTCACAAACAAAATTTTATCCTAAGAGCTTACTATATACCACTTAAATCACAAAAAAATTCACACAAATAATAGACAAAGAAAATGCAATCAAGCAAGTAATAAATGAATAAATAAATAAATAAAATCATGTGTTATGATTTTATTGATGCTTCATTTATGCTTTATTTCAGTGAGATTTAGATTATAGCAACTTCTTCGTAATTGTATATAGAAAAACATGCATATTAAATAGACACACAATAAATTTCTCATAAGATTGTTAGACCATTGAATGACATTAAATTATAGTAGAGGAGCATATATATTAGGTTATTGCATGATTTGTAGCTTCTTATTGCATATCATTGCATGAATTTTAGAAAATAATTATGTACAATCAGTTGCATAATGATTTATCTATGAAGTTATTAGACTAGTGAAATATATTTTGATGCCATTAAGCGTGAATTTATTCATTAGCAGATACATGTAAGGCGTTGCATAAGATGAAAACATATGTTATGAAAGAATGAAATAACTTATATATGAATGCTTGTATGTACATGTTAAGAGAAAATATTCACTCTCTAATGGTACAGACAGGGGACACCAGTGTACCCACTTGCATAGATGTTTTTCTACCACCCCAGATAATTATGATATTAGATCACTAACCGCTATTCCGCCGGGAGAATATCGGTCAGGGGCGAGTAGAAAGAGTTTATCACCCTAGACAACTGTATCAAATATATGACTATGACAGTTCTGTTATAAAAGATATTACAAACAGGAGAAAAATGATCATTTGTCCAGAAACAGCTGTCCCACAGTTCTTTTCAATCAGTTGAAACAAATAACCGGTCAGCTTCCCCGCAGCAGCTTCCTGCAACTGCCCCAAAAAAACTCGAAATTATCAATCTTCTGTTTAGTAGAAGGATCAACTAAATTTATTTGATTAGCATTTATAAGAAAAGAAAATTAATAAAAACTAATATTTTTAGCCAAAAATTAAGATAATTCATAAGATTAGTAATTCCATGATTGATGAAATCTCAAATAAAATTCTTAAACTATAATGAAGCAATACCATAACTAATTAATGGCTTATTCATTGGCTCAAAAGGAAGAATTAATGGAACGATCAAGTTTGGGCAAAGAAACATTCACAAGTTCCGCTAGAATAACCATCATACCCATCTCAAATTTCATATTCTTCATTCACAACTTCTTCTTGAGGAGATAACTTTTTTTCTCCAACATTTGCTTCGGTTTCTCTTTCCTACATTTTTAAAGGATGTTCTAAAAGATCATTTTTCGGAGCATTCAACTTAGACTTAAGAATAATTGTCATTCAAAAAAGAGAAAGTTGTAGAGCCTAAGAGAGGAAGAAGATGATGAAATGAAACAACATCCAAATGAAAGCTTTATTCTCACATTTATATACTTGTGAACGCAAATGTGTATAAAAGGATAACATCAATGCACAATTGACATGACAATCAATCATGAAAAGATGACTATAAAAAGTATATTACTAATACTATATAAAGCATATTTATTATTATTTTTATATAAAGTATTTTACTAATTCTATATTCATTGTACAAGGATGAGAAAAATAATTAACTCAAAAGTACAAAATAAGAATTCTTCAAAAAAGGAAGTCGAAAAGATGCAGATAATCCTCCATTTTTATTTAATTAAAGTTAAAAGAAAAACATACTCTCATTGTATTATATTTTGGAGTTAGCTTTCAAGAAATTAAGATAACTATAGAATTAAATTTATATCCAAATCTCAAACTTTGGCTCAAGCTAAATTAGCTTGGTTCAAGATAACTCTGCTGAGTCAGAACAATAAAATCATGAACTTTCCAAGGCTATTATACAATTCAATTATTAAAGCTATCATGAAGTAGCTAGGATATTTTTGAACTCACCAAAATCTTGTTGTACCACTCAAAATATTTACGAGCCATGACTTATTTAAACTGTAATAGCCTGATGTCACAGACTAAGTTATCTCTAGTCACCTACGCGGCTTTAGCGCTCTTCTTTGACACTAAATTAGTCTATCCTTCACAATACTTGGACTTGAAGAAGAGTAGGGAGAAGTATTGGAGAAAGAAATACTACACTAAGAAAGAAAGATTAGAAAACTTAAATGCTCGGAAGCTTGGAAGGTTTTCTTGGATGGATTCAAATGAGGGGATGAACTCCTATTTATAGTCCTCTAAAAGTCTAAGGGAATATTCTAGAATAGCCTAGTTTCTAGAATGTTCTCTATTATTCATTTATACATAT